GTTTGCTGTAAATTGCAGACAGGACTTGTGATGACTTTCTCTTTGCTAATCTGGTGACAGGTTGTCCCAGCAGACCGTAAACCTCTTGGCTGCGTCTCTGAATACTTTCCTTGTGATTTTAGCTGGACGTTCTTCTCCTGGAAGGTTTTTTCATCAGCTTTCATCAAACACCTGATTCCTGTTTCTGCTTCCCATCCAAACGGCCTCGGATCAAAACTGCCGGCTTCGTGATGATGGGAAGAATGAAAACTATGAAGCATTTGAAGCAGCAACCTGTTGGGGTTGGAGCTAATAACCGAAGGTGACTCATCTGTTGTCCTGCTTTGGAGATGAAGCTGTCCTGTTGTTATGAAGTGTTTTTATAACAACACATTGTTCCCAGGTCTGGATCTGCTTTTCCTCTCTGTAACAACTCCCCTGTGCTGCAGCAGCAATGAAAAGACTTTAAAGTTCAATTCCTGTCGAGAGACTTTCAAGGTTTCTTGTTGCAAAGGGACCTGGGCACACATCCTGCGGGAGAACCGTTTCCTTCCTCTGACCCGAAATGTTTCGCTGCACAAGTGTTAAGATGTTCCCGCCTCAGGAGCAGGGCTGGTTCTCCTACAACGTGCCGCACAAGAATTTAGCAGGAAATGGACTTCCAAGCTGCGAGGAGTGTCGAGACGTTTACCCTGGCTCTGTGGATCCTTCTGAGACGGGTCAGAACCTTCTGGTTCAGAACAGATCCTACTGTCCTGCTCTGATAGATGTGGAGCTAATTCTCCTTTTGACAGCCTCATAAAACCTTATTTTATTTTATTTCTGGAAGTCTTAAAGATTCTGAGTCATTACGTCCATTTTCTGTTGCATAACGGAGACATTTTAAGACTTTTAATTAAAACTGAAAGCTATTTAATTAGAAAAGTGCATGTCTTAAAAAGAAGTATTTATGGGTCAGCACACTGCTAAGGAAACCTCTGTACTTTCTTCTTGTTTTGCTTTTCACAATGAAAGAAACCACAAGACATTGCTGCCCCTCAACAACAGAGTCTGATTCACATAAAGGAGCCTCTGCCTCTTTCAGGGACTCAAATTATTAAATTTGAGTCATTTTTTTAACGAGCATGAGACGTTTTCTGAACTGTGCAACATGTGTGCTGTTCTCTGTTCATATATAGTTTTATGTTGCCAAATACCTGGCAGATAATGATTGTTCTTTTGACAAAGTACAACAAAACCAAATAAACCCTCTGACTGTTTTCATCTGCTACGCAGATCAGGATTTCATTCAAGCTCTTCTTTCGAAGCCGTGAGTAAAACAATCACTTCCTGAAGTCCAAACCAGACAGGTTGGTGTGTAATTTCAGATCTGACCCTGATGAGGGCGATGCCATGTGTGGTTGTGTTTGCCACATGGTGAGTGTCAACACGGTTGAAGGTAGCGCCTTAGCATTAGCTTCCGCTTCAGACCATTTTCATGTAGCAGTTTAGCATTAGCTTCTTCCAACTACCTTGGAATAGTGCTAATGTTTACGATTAGTGCTTTAGGATTAGTGCTGCTAACCTTTTAGCTAACAGTGCTAGCTGCTAGCTTTGGTGATGGTCAGGCTAACAGATGCGGTTGGACAGGCTATGATGTTTGCAGACGTCTAGAAAAACCAACTGGCGAAGTACGCAGCCTGTGGTGAATAGTCGATACATTTATCCAGTGATCCAATCTTAGTTCATATTCTACCTCCTTTACTTCTACCGTCACCTTGATTGAAGCCAAAGGCCGCAACTCAGTCATAAACAATAGTTAATGCTGTTTTTAATGATCCAGACAAAGTTTTTATTTTCCGCAGAGTGCCTCCAAGTGCAGCGACATTGTATTCACTCAAAAACTATCCAAAATTAGAACAAGCAGAATGAAAGAATATATGATATTTCTTCTGGAGAAAGCTTAGAAATGTTTTAATAAGGAAATGCTTTTGCACTTTGTGTGGGTAAGCCAGCCGACGTTGGCTCCTCTAATCGATTAGCTTTGCTCAGTCTGGTATATTTTCCTGCCATTTGTGAAATTAATGGGAAACGCTTTCCATGGATTTTCCTTTGCGAGTTATTTACAGCGAAGGTGCGCCGTGTCCATCTGGGACTGTCGTTTTCATATTTAACCGTTTCTTATTTCTGCTAGTGGAAAGCTTTTTCAGCGCTGGTTGATGGAGCGCCTGGTGACGGCGTCACGTAATCAGCCACATGGTTTGAGTCCTTTGCTGAAATTCTGCAAATCGCAGCCTGTGGTTTAAATCTTCAGCCCGTTTAAACTAATCACAAATAGGCAACTTTGTACTTTTTGGCAACTAATTCCTACATTTTGTAACTTTTTTGTTCTAAATTGGTGAATCAGTCCGTTCATGATTAAATCGTTCCGCCACCCAAAATCAGTCCAAAGCGTAATCATCATTTGTTGGACTGACAAATATCGGTTGGGAAAATCTTGCATATCAACAAGAATGAAAGGAAAGGGCTGCAGAGATTGTTGTGTCTAGAGACGGTACCAATAAGGAAACGAAACGAGGCCTTGTAGATAGTCAGAAATGGTTGGACATGGGAGTAGAATGGATGCTGAGGCTGGAGCCACCAGGCAGGAGGCCGAAAGGAAATCCAAAATCAGAGATTAATGAATGTGATGAAAGACCAGGTGGTGTCAGGAACCAGAAAACAGGACTAATTGGAGAGAGAGAGACGTTTGCATTCTGTAAACTCTTGAAGCCCAAGTCAAATTTCATGTTTGTGCCATAATAATCTTTGCCATTAAAGCGGATTCAGATTCTGAGGTCCGTCCTGGTCTCCAGAGGAGATAAAAGAAACCAGATAACTGATAGTTTGGATTAATAACATGATGTCAGTCAGGTGTAAACGTCTGTTTGTGGCAGAAGATGCCTGAGTGAAGTTCTTCAAAGCTCCTGGTTAATCTGCTGTTTAGTCTGTCCTACAATCAACATTCCCAGAAGTCTTCTCCGTGTCTAGACTGCTGCAAAAACCCAAAGGTAATCATCCAAATAAAAGGTGTGAGAGCGTGTTTACAGAAAGGTGCTTATTTAAACGCTCGGGCTGAAGAGGTTCATAAAGACCTTGTAAAAACGGGAACAAAAGAGAGGATTACATCCCAGCAGGCTGATGCAGTTCTGTCTGCTTCCTCCGTTTTTCTCCTCTAAGGCTTATTTTTAGAACCAGCTTTAAAAAGTTTCCATAATTTTCCAGAAGAGTAACTCTGCTGAATGCTTCTTGCTGTTGCTGGATGACTTCATCGGAAACGTCCAGGTAAACACGGCTGCTGATTGGCTCCTTGGCACACCTGCAGAGTTCACGCTGCGAGAATCTCAACATCGGAAATCTGCAGGGAATCAGACAGTTGATGATTATTATCTGAAATGTTTTCCCGTCTTTGAGCTCAGTGACGACGTCAGCGTAAAGTCCCTTCGGCCATTAATAAGCATAATGTGTGGAAAAACACCAAGAAGGATTTGAACAGATGAGAGCGGTTCAAGTTGGACTAAACATAAACGGGGCTAAAAAGTTGCTTTTTAACGTAGCACCAGAGATCATGATCAAAAATGTATCCTCTCGATAGTCCCAAAGTCTACATCTTTGATTGGCTTGGTGTCAACATGAAGGAGATTTCTCTGTCCAAGTTTCCTCTATTGTCCTTATTTTACAGGACTAACAAAGCGGAACGTCTGTCACTTACATATCAGGAAAAAATAGGATCTGGAATGTTTTCAAAACACCAAACACAGCAGAGAAAATCTACATTTATAAAACCATGACAGCAACACCAGAAAGCAGTTTCCTCTTTGTAACCCTGAGCTTCACCTCAGCGTTTGCTACAAGTTTCCGCCTCATGTTCTACCTGCCAACATTCAACCGCAAATGGTCAGCTGATCAATGTTATTTCAGGGTCACCAATGGCAACCACAGAGAAAAGCGCCAAGACATTTCACAAGGCAGAGACTGATGGAAGATGGAGAGTCGAGGAAAATCTGGTAGCTACAGCGGCAGCGTGACAAATAAAGGTTAAACACAGCTACCGCCATTTTAGGAGGCCTCTGACGCGGCAGTTTTCATTTTCCCCACTGTTTGTTCACGGAGTCCATGAATAAATATCAAGTTTTAAAGTCTGTCTGAATTTTGCGGAAAGCCTTTGCAAAAGAGTTGAAGCTGTTGCTGAGTCGGCCCACATCATATGAGATCTTGAGCCTTAAAATGGGATTCAGAAAAAGTTTGTGAAGCCACAAAAGCACAAATTTGTGCATCTGAAGTCCATCAGTCTCCATACAGGAAGACTAGTCCCAAAAGGAAAACATCCCCATATGTCCAGGATTGGACATCCCAGCAGGTTGACCAAAGCGTTGGTTGAACCAGTTTGGATGTTTGGAAGAGCTGAAGGAGAAATCCTTTTCTTTCCAAAAACAAGATGGCAGTAGGACTGAGGTTAGCAAAGCTGCATCTGAAGGAAGGACAAGACGTCTGGGACAATGTCCTCTGGACAGATGAGACCAAAGTGGAGACATTGGACCATGATGGAGGAAACCAACCAGCAGATCAGTCACTGAGCGGACCACCATGTTTTCTGTGTGCGGTGAGTCCAAACTGGGTCATCAAGTGAACCATGATCCCAAACCCAGCAGCAAAACGTAACAAAGTGAAGCAGGACAGCAGGAGAGCACTGAGGATGTGAGATCGATCAGTTCGTCATTTCAGCATTAATTTGTGGTTTTATCCAAATTTCTCATCATTGTTCTTGTATGTGAAATTCCTCTGCTTGGTGGAAACCTCAATATTTGGGCTGTCTCCTTGTTTATGATCGTGTTGTTTTCTCAGAATTACTTTTAACAGCTATTGACGTCAAAACAAACCGTTTTCACTTGTAGCTTTTATTTCTGTAAGTTTGCTGTGTCTCTTCTCAGAAGCGCCACGTCCATTGTGTCTTTTTCCTCAGAATCGCAGAGCAGATTAACTCACACCATGCCCTCGCCGACCTCTTACTGTACTGTGCTTATACGTTTGCATTTGAGCACATCCAAATTCCACTCTGTCAGTGAAGTATGGCAGTGTGAGTTTAAGACCATTTCCACAAAAAGACTGCTTCCTCTTCCATTTCTTTCCATTTTTATACATCCTCTTTGTCGTTTCAAAGCGGCTCTGTCTCTCCAACTCAAACAAGCCAGCACAGATTGCTTGGCTCTTCCCCTGAAACCAGACCAAGGATGTGCTGGTCGGACCTGGAGGACTCGCAGCCAATGTGCCCTGTTGCTTCTTCTGCTGCTCTCAGGCTTTGGAAAGGGTGTTAGGACGGTGCATTCCTGGTCGTTACAAAAGCAAGTACAGGTTTCCGTTTCATGTGCCATCGTAGCAGATGGTACACTTCAGGGGTTTTACAGTCTCCTGTTTTTGGTTTCATAAATGTGAGGATGGTAAAAAGATGATATTCTAACACAAACACTGAGGTCAGCAGCAGCTCAGGGTTCAACTCATTGGTTGCAGATCAACACAATCTGCTTTTTTCCTAACTGAGATTTCACCTGGATAGCAGTCCAAGTTCCAGGCTTTGTGTCCTTAAGGATTAAAATGCCAGATGTGGACGATAATGAACGATTTTCTTGCCTTAAAACAGGCGTCCTTTTACTCACGTCAAACTTCCTATCTTGTCTAGTTTCATTGGGAATTTTCCCTCACCTAACCAGTTCGTCCGATACCAGCTGCCAACATCAACTGAGACACTAGATGTGTTGAGTTATTGAAGTGAATGCAGTGGGTTTCTTCTTCTGTAAAGGAATTGGGAACCAACAAGCCGCATACACAGCGAGTAACTTAAGAGCTGAGTAACCACAATCGTTCATAGAAAACCTTTTTCTATAGATGCAACTGGCATTAAATGTTCACCAGGTGTTGGGAAGAACCCAAGAAACCAAAACAAATGAGTTGTTATAATGTTCACCTCCACCTCCCTTTCCCACACAGACAGAGGTGAAAAATGGTCAGAAAGCCGTCCTGCCCATTATCAGTACAAATGAATATCAGCTGGTCGTTACCACAAGCAACATCTCATGATGGGCAAAGCCAACAAACTCTCCTTCACAACCTCATTGTCGCAAAACTTTCTGATGGTTATAGAAGCATTTCTAAAGCTGTGAACGTTGCAGAGGGCACCAGCGTTACTGGTGCCATAATCTGGAAGTGGAAGATAATTGGACCATAAAGCAGCCAAGACCTCGCACGATTTCTGACAGATGAGTGAAAACACTTTTCAGAAGAGTTGTCCAAAAGCCAATGACCATCAGTACAGAGCAAGAGAAAGACCTGGACTTAGCAGGTACAGTTGTTTCAAAGGAAACGGTAAGCAATGCACTCAACGGCCTGTGTGCACGCTCACCATGCAAGACTCCACTTCTGAAGAAAAAGCCTGTTGAAGCTTGTTTAAAGTTTGCTGGGAGAACACTCTGGTCAGCTGAGAGCAAAACTAAACTGTTTGGATGCCATAACACAACCAGGTTAGGAGGACAGCGTGCACCCCAAAAACGGTGAAGTTTGGAGGTGGAAGCATCATGCTGTGGGGTTGTTTTTCTGCGTATGGTACAGGATGAATGGAAAAATGCACTGAGACATTGTTGAGAGAAGTCTGCTGCCATCTACCAGACTGATGAAGATTAAATGAAAGTGGACAAAGAAATCTGCTAGAACGGCCCAGCCAACCACCTGACATGAATCCAACTGAGAAAGAATTAAAAACCATTTAACAGAAGATCTAATGACTGTGAATGTGTTGAAATCACACCTGACCAATGCATGAGGCCAGTTTCTACGTACAGGAGGCACAATGAAGTTGTCACTACCAACAAAGACTTTTCTACAAAGTATTAAATATCAGTAAGTGTGTTAAATATGTTACATTATTACAGTTTTGTTTTGGTGTCTTTGTACTTGGGTTCTTGCCAACACCTGGTGAACATTTAGCGTCCACAACACCTTTAGAAATATGTTTACTGTGACAGATTGTGATGTGTTCAAACCTTATTTTACATGCCGTGCCACTTGCTGGCTGCAGTGCCAATCATGCATCATCTGTTGTTCGAATCTGAGATTGGACTGTAGGCGTTGAAGGTCCAGATGGGAAACCTACACCCCTCTCTTTAGCAACACTCTCCAGACGCAGAGGTTCAGCAGGTTCCAGCAAGTTAAGACTTTTTAATTCCACTTTGAATAAAATTTAAGACAGAAAAACCCCTAAATATTGGTGAAGATGGAGGGGGGACTCCTGCTGCATTAAGATTGAGCAGAGCAAAAACTGTTAAGTTTCTAAGGTCTGTTCTTGACTCTTGGCAGCGGGTCTGTGCTTCTCGCACTGCAGATGGCTCTCCACAGCCTTAACCCCCATAGTGCCCGGCTTAAAAGTTTAGTGGCACAGAATGTACCTAGCCTTACAGAAGCATTTAATTGCCAGAGCGAGGAAATAAATTCAGGAGCAGAGTGTCCTTATAACAAGAAACTTTCACAAGATTTAAAACTAGTTAAAACTAAAAAGTTTCTCGTCTTAACGAGACAAGTTTTTTATCTCATTATAACGACAAACTTTTCCGTTATAACAAGATAAAATTATGTTCCTCTGACAGATTAGGACTTCTTAAAAAGGCATAAAGTGGCTCCCCCGACTCTCCTGGTCGAGGCTTCTTGTGGACAACACTTAGCCATCCCAAGAGGGGCTGCTGTTTTACTGCTATGACCTTTCTTACTTAAACGAGGAGATATTTTGCTTTTAACAAGATGTAAATCTGATAATGAGTTTATAATGAGAAACTGGTCCTGTATTTAATTTCAAGCTCTGGCAGATAAGTGAGGCCATCCTAGTGTCGTATGGGTTGGCAGCAGAAGTGAGCTAGTGGCATCCAGTCAGCTGGCGTAAATACCCTTACCCAAGATGGATGCAAAAAAGCTAGCTAGCAAGCATACATTAGCGACAAGTTAGCGGTAGCCTCAGGTGCCTCTAGTCTGCAGCCGTCTCAAAGTTTTGGCTGACGGAGAAGAATAAACTGCCTTTACAAAACTAAATAGTCTTGCGATTAACTCATATAAGGCCAAATTACTTTAAAAAAAAAAACATTTTTAAAAAAAGAATTTAAGACATTTTAAGGCCTTAATTTTAGATGCATTAACTTAAGATGTTCCATGGATGCATGAAACATGGCCACACCTGGGTTTTCTGTAGTGTATTCACATCTGTAGAAAAGACCTGGACCAACAGGGGATTGTCCTAGATGTCTGTTTCCAGGCCATGGAGGAAATCTAGTCCTTCCAGCTTCCCGTTTGTTTTCTCCAGGGTCTCCTTCCAGTGGCCCAGACAAACCTGTGCAGAGAGGCACGTAGGAAGCGACCTGTTCGGATACGCTCCTTTCGCTGATGCCAGAGAGATTTGTAACTACCAAATGTGTTGAATTACCCTCTGTAACATGAAGGTCAAATTTCTCCAGGCTGCGCTCACACAGGACCAAAGGTTCGGACCAAAGCAGACTTTGTGAGGTGTGGTTTGCGTTCACATTGTGCTTCTTTGCAAGCAGACTAATTTCTAAACAATGCTGGTGACGATCTTTGGAAGTCCTTCATGCTGCTTCTCTGTTGTGCACATTTGTATTATTAAAACTATAATGGCATTTTGAGCACCATTTTAAATGTGCAGAGCAGCTCATTCATCACTGGTTTTGCAATGGGACATTTTTGAACAGCTTTGGTGAATCCTGGTACAAGCCAATGGAGTTGAGATGCTCTGCATGTTCTGACCCGCAACATGCTGGCACCCGCGAACGGCGGGGACGATGTCATTACATCACAGCATGCAGCGTCAGCAGCACTGAAGGGCTCGTTTTTACCTTGATCCGGAGCAACCGTGGCTCATGAAGTTCAGAAAGGTGTTTATTTCCTGCAGCTCACACTGGATCAGTTTCACCTCAGAAAGAGTCTGGGTCCGGTTGTTTGGGCCGCACCAGGGTTTGCTGTAGTGTATTCACATCTGTAGAAAAGATCTGGACCAACGGGGGAAACGAACTCTGGTCCGTTTAAAACGGATCAATTGGATAGGTGTGAAAAAACCAAATACTGCTGAGCTTCTTCTAGTCTTTTTGTAGCTCGAAGGCTTGCTTTTCCCTTTTTCTACAGTAATAATTGTTCTTACCTACGTGTTTAAAACATGCAGGGCGTTGTACCCTGAGGACCAGGACTGTGAAACACTGATCTACGAAGATAAGTGGTTATGAATAATCTGAGAAACCCCTTTCAATAATAATTACAGCCTATCAAATGCAGAGCGAGCACTGAGATACGTTTGGCCCTGGACTTAAAAAATATTGCGGCTTGCTGAAACTGGATAGCCGTTTCGAAATCATCTTGTCATCACAGAAATGAGAAATTATTTGCTTAGTCATACAGAGCACAATGTACCTTTAAGACCACGTTCTCGCGTACCAAACCCATCTATTACATAGACGTACCGCTGCTCATATTTTCCAGTGATTCCTGAAGTCACAAAACAGATGTTCCTGCACATTTATCGAGGTCCAGAGAAAAAACTGTTTATCTACCTGAGCGCTTCTTGCTCTGTCACGGAGTCCCGTCAGGAAGGACGGCTGTGATGTGGCTTCGATTGGAACGGCCTCTGTGGCCGCTTGGGGAACGTCACAGTTGGTGTAGGGGAATTTATCGGACCAGCTAAGTGGAACCTGTACAGCGCAGAGAAACGTCTATCTCCTCTTTCATCGGTGGGAGTTTTCCCCTCGCTGCTGCTGCGCTGACTCAGCTCCATAATCATCTGCAGACCAGAGAAATCAGTGACCGGCATGCCTCACGTATCCACTGCAAATCAGTTGCTGTGTGCAGAACTCCAGGATTGTTTTGTCTTTTGTTAAGAATGTGAAGGAAGTGTCCTTTCTTTTGGGTTAATTTTATTTGATTTGGATGAAATTAAGTAAGTTTTCATTCTTGTTATATTACTGTTTTTCTTCTATTATTTGTCTCTTATTTTTCAGGTATTTGCATTTTTATGAGTATGTGCTTTTTACAGTACTAAAAATTTATCTGCATATTTTTTAAAAAATATTACTGCTGCTGCAATGTGGCTTACCACCATCAATGTGAGAGACTCATTTCAGAGTGCTTGGTGGTGCACCTGGTCCGTTTTGCTTTTCTCTGCTTAGGAAGGGATGCTTTATTGTAGATATTAAAACTGAAGATGGTTGTGATCGAGGGACTTAACTGACAGTTACTCAGGCTAACGGCTACTTGAGCCACGCGCTGCTCAAACCAGCAACTACTCAACCTTAAATCTAATTCAGCTAACATCAAATTAAATGGGCTTCTACTCAAGCTAACAAAAAATAAACCCAAGCAAACAACTACCTATCCTAATGGCTAATAAAGCTAAAAGCTACCCAAGTTAACAGCTATGTAAATAAAAAGCTCCTATCCCGAAAGGTTAGTAAATATAACAACCACTAAAGCTAAGAATTGATTAGCTACTGCTCAAGCTAAAAGCTATTCAACCCAAGAACCTCGTAAGTTAGACGGCTAACATCTAAAGCTAAAGGCTATTTAAGCTAGCCAGTCAATCTAGAGACCATGTGAGCCAACCACAGACCAAGTGGCTGCAGTGGCTTCGTTGTTGAGTGATTAGAAGTGGAACAGTTGTTAACCCAAGCACATGATCCATGTTGTAGTTGATAAAGTTAAGGTTTTCTTTTTCCTTTTTGTGAAAGCAAACATAATGTGCGCAGAAAGAACGATTGGAAAACATTTTCTGATTCTAAGAAGAATTGCTCTCATTTTCCCACCCCAAATTCCAGGCAAATCTGAAGCAAAACGAGCTTTGGAAAAGAAAAGAATGGCTTTGGAACAGATTTCAGCCTCTCTGGGAGTTCCTCTATTTTCCTAAGGGCTTAGTGCTTTCACAGCTTCAGCTTGGGCCTGTTCGTGTTGTCAGCTTTGACAAATTACACTCAGGATATTTCCAATGTCAAATATCACCCTGCAGCTAACTGGCATGTCCGGAATCCCTCACTGGACACACACACCTCTCGTTCTCTTGTTCTCCATTGCGCCACCAAATCAGGCAGAAGAATTTACCACAGTCCAGAAGAAATATTAGACAAAGCTCTTTGGCAGACGCAATGCACACCGTTTTCAGTTCATGTCTGCAGCTAAAGGACGGGGTAGTTCTCCTCTTCCATGCAGGGTTGAGGGCTCCTCCAGCTGTGCTACTGCGTTTCAGGCCTCGCTGCACTGAAAGCCCATCCAGTCAAGCTACAGACAAAAGATTATTCCCTGAAAGCTTCTCCAGGGAGACAGGAAAGACTATTTCCACCACACAGCCTCATGCAGGCCACTCCACCTCCAGCACAAATCATGCTTCATGTGGGGTGGTAGACCTCTTTCCTTCTGCTGATCATCACCTCATGATTCGTATCTAAACCTAGAATATAGGTGGGTGGTTTTACCTCAAGTGATATCTGCTTAGCTGATGAATATTAATGGGCTTTTATCTGACTTTACGCAATAAAATACATACGACTCAGCCTGCACCAATTAGCTTAATGACCGCGGGGGAACAGGTCCAATTATATATGAAACTTTTCAACATTTTCTTAGTCCACATATATATCAGTATTTATGGCCCCTCTAATTATCTCATAGTGGTATTTTTCAACCATATACTGTTTTCTTATTGCTATAAATCAGTGGTTCTTAACCTTTTTTTGAGGTACCGAACCCACCAGTTTCATATGCACATTCACTGAACCCTTCTGTAGTGATAAATGAAATATGAGTTATTCCCCCCAAAGTCTAGTTGGGTGACCCAACTAGACTCTAGTTGGGTCACTGCAAGATCACTAAGTCTTCTTAAAAGGTAGAGTCTCTGAGAAAAGTTCTTCAAACTTTTCAGTGTTTTCAGCAAAGTTGAGCTGACTGTCCAGGAACAACCCAAGGTATTCAAAATTTTCCACAGTTTCAACAGGTTGGCCATCGAGAGAAACTGGAACCACTTTAAGGTCTTGTTTAGATCATTAGCTCTACATTCTTAAGAGAATGAAAATTTAATAATAAATAAAGACTTTGCGGTATTCTGATTTAGTAATGTAATTATATTAGTTGTGTTACCACCCCCCACGCCACT